TTCTTTTAAGCCCCCAAAAGAAAAGAAACTAAGAAAAAAAGTTGTAATAGATTTGGACCGGGGTGGATTTGTATCGTGACAGGGTGCAATAAACAGCCTCCTGACCACAATTGAATCCAATACACCTGACAGCATGGTGGTCCGAAGAGAGGAAGTGGAGGGGGTATGCAGGGCCACCGCCCTCATTAAATTCAGATATATTGGATATATGTAAATTGGGATAATTGGTGAAAAGCACCCACATGGAAACCTTTTCGCTTTTGGGTGCCCTTAAAAACCCAGGACAGTGCTGTGCGCCCAGGGAAAACGATAGCGGGGTATCTTAATCCCACGTCCAACCCAATCGTGGGCTGTTTTCCCTGGGCCCTACTTGGCTACCAGCCTGATGTGGGATGAAAATGCCGCCCTATCGCTTTTCCTAAGCGCACGGTACTGGCCCTGGTTTTCGTGCGGCAAGAACCGAAAACCATGTGAATTTGCTCGCTATGCTTGCCGGTAATAAGCAACCTGACTGCTGCCACCCCAAAATAGATGGGGCTGTGTGAGTTCACATTAAGAAAAAAGAAAATATTAAACAGTGGACGCAGCATGTTTTGAAACCCTAAAGGCAGAAAAAACTTGAGCCGGTAAAGCAAAGCAACCACGCGCCAACTCAAAATCGAAATGAGCCATTTCAGTCCAAAAGTATCTGTTGGGCATTTTCTGTATTTTTCTTTGTTTTCCCCTCTGACACCACGACTGACCCTTGTAAATATGACACCCAGTCTGACGCCACAGCCGTCGGTACTTCCATCGCCTTTTCGAACTCTGCAGGGTTTCTTTTGCGGAAGCGTGTTTCTTAGGCTCATTCCATACTCAAAGGCAACATTATCGTATTTTCCCTCAAAAGAAAAAACACAGTCAGCCTTTGGACAGTCAGTGTGTCCTTTGGCTTTTCCCTTAGTCGTCGTCCTTGGAAACCGTCGACGATATTTTGTTTCTTCTTTTAGGCTTGGTAGAGAGACGGAGGCCAGGCTATATGCTACGAATCCCCCTCGATGGCGACCAACCGTGGACAAGTCCGCGGCCGCGGCCTAGGTCGCGCCCCCGCGGACGTGTCCGAAGTCCACGGCCATGAAAAAAAAAAAAAAAAAAAAAAAAAAAAAAACTTCTGAAAAACAAATATGTTATGCAGAAAAAGATACTGAACACATTTTGCCTTGTGGTCATATCCAAAAACGTTACCGAATTTAAAATAAAAAATCAGATACGTTTCATATTTTTTTTTTTGGATAAAAAAAAAACAACAGCTTTTGCCTCAGGAAAATTAGTTTTTGAATTTTCAAAATTCGAAGTCGAAGTCAAAAAATAAAACAAAAAATTGTGCAATTTAGATCTCAATACGGTCTACAACCCCATATTTTTTATTTTGTTTTCTGATTAATGCTTAAGGTCATAAAAAATTCCTGTAAGTCGTAACCGCACCCAACCGCGGCCGGAGCCGCGGCGGCCGTGATCACTTCCGCCCTCCGAGCTTGACCCCGCGGATGTTTCATAGGCTACATGACCATAGATGGAACGTGGACAGACCTGTGGACTCGTGGGGCTGTCCCCCGATGGATGGCTAGGATGTGTTCTACAATCTCGGGCCAGGGCCTCCGATATGACGTGGAGTGGATTGAGGATGAGTGGGGCACTGGCCCCGACCGACAGTATCTTGTCAGGTTTGCGTTCCAGCCCCCTTCTGAGAACCGGTGGTTCTACAGAAGAGACATGATCAAGACAGCAAAGTCTGTTGTTTTGCGGTATGAAGCGGCCCAGAAGGCCAACCTCCGCCGCTCACCCCGCCTACACCCCTAGCTCGGAGGTCCTCGCTCCCGGGGAGGGTAAGCCTGCAATGACTTGCTGATTTCGCTGTCGAGACTGACTGCGAGGATGTGCACTAACCATAGGGTTAGATTCGTAATTTGTTTGGCTGAGGGTTAACCGAGAGACCTGCATGTTTGGAAATTTGTGAGGGACAAAATTGCAATTCCAGGAAAATACAGGTCCGGTACTAACCGAATTTCTACAGCTACCTTAACTGCCTATGGCACGCCTGGGCTACCCCTAGGACAAACAGGCCCTAAGTGGCCTATACTGCTATACGGTCCTATAGCCTATAGCCGGGTCCGTTAGAGGCCGAGAGGCCGAAACAGCAACGGTACCGGTAGGTCCAGTCAGTCCATTCTAGGTCTAGGTTAGAGTAGGGAGTCTATAAGTCCGGTAGGAAAATCGGGTAGGAACTTTTGGCTTTTCATTTTCGCGTTGCAGGGTTCGTGGCCAACCAAGTTTAGGAGCGCTGAATGTCTACAGCGGCACCTGTGACATCAGTTGCGTGAAGCAGCCATAGCCGGCCTACCTGAGACAGCCATAGCTGGGGCTGTGCTCAGCGCATCTATCCCCAGGGGATATCTGCGTCTGGCAGGACTATCGAAGGCTCTTCACTGGGTACATGTGGGTACTGCTGCTGCGGTAGCAGCCGGGCAGCCATAGCTGCCCTCTTCACTGTTAGAGTGACTCATCGGCATTGGGGACTACTTCGCTGTTCATGATCTGCATCTGCGTGTATGACACTGACGTCTAGGAGGCGATTTCAGTGCAGCGCTTGACTCTGAGAGTGTAGTAGTGAGTTGAGTGTGTGGTACTGAGGTGGAGAGACACAGGGTTAAACTCTGTAACGATAATTGGGGTTAATTAAGTTGAAGTTGGCTCATCATCTGTGTTACATTCCGATTGTGATCTTCGTAGTGTCATCTTGTGATTGTTTGTTAGGAGTTCTTCAGAGAGAGAGAAACACTGTTTGTATTCTCCCCATCTGTGCATAGTTGATATTCCGCTGCTTTTCTCTGGTCTGTGTGCAGGTGGACTCTGTCTCTTCCTCCCCTTTGTCTCATGCATGTATGGGCGTGTGTGAGTTCTTTGTGTGTGTGAGTGGCAATCAAATTGTCAGACAACCAAGGTTATAACAGTTGGTATCAAAGCGGAGATTGGACTTGGAGCTCAGAGGGTTGAGCGCAACAGGGGCAGCTTCTCTTTCTTGCCCTAACTGGCGATAAGTGCCATGGCGGTTCTTTATTTTCAGTAAAGATCCAGCGAAGACAAGAGATACAATCGGTGATTGCATAGCATCAGTGCGTGCATGATCAGGCACCCTGAGCCTGTCTGAGTGCCTGACAGGAAGTGGCAAGAATAGGGTTATTTCGCCGTCCACCCTTCTGACCTCAGTTGATGACTGGGATCAGGGTGGCGAATTACACCCTAATCCAGTGATAACTGGGTGGCGGCTTCAATCCCAGTATAGCGCTGAGGGAGATTTGATCCCAGGATCAATGTCCTGTTGAATTACCCTACTCAGGGCTGAATTTAACACCAGCGACTTATCCTTGCAGTGGCGAGATATCTTCAGGAGAGTTTTCTCTCGCCACTGAGGCAGATCCACTGAATCTGAGAATTGGGGGCTAATAGCCACATCCTACTGGACAGGATCAACAAGTTTCAGGAGATTCAATGGGTGGGAAGATGTGGAAGAGTGTCTGCAAGTACTGGCGAAACCAGGGTCTGGCAGCCATAGCCAGAGCTTCAACAACCACTGAATGAAATACTTCAAGTAAGTGTGTTCCATGTGAATCCTTGAGTAGCGATTAGATTAGTATCAGTGAAAATAGAATTGATGCTCTGTCTATCAGTAGAGTCACAATCGTGAAATTGTCAGACTGCAAGATAGCCATAGGCATCTTCTTCCTCCCTACCCTGACTCATATCTCATCATCTATTGACCTGTTCTGACTCAAATTTGTTCTAGGACTGCATGACAGTATCGCGTTGCACCCTGTATGATCAGGCTGTGAGTTCCGTACAGAAAAAGTAGTGATACTGTGGATCTGAGTTTTGCGCTGAGTGTATTTATAGTCTGTGCTATCTAGGGTCAAACACAACTCCTTTTTTTTTTTTTTTTTTTTTTTTTTTTTTTTTTTTTTTTTTGAAGGCCCTTGTGCTGGTGGTAAGAGAACCATCGGGACTGAGGCTTTGCCTCGCGGGCGGCTCAATCTATTGGTGGGGAGCAATACCTGCTGAAAACCGGGTCCAATTTCCAAAAAATACATTTTTGCCGCACAGTACATCAATGAGGTGACGACAAAATGCTGGAAATCGGGTCCAGCGTCCCATATCCGCTATACTCTTCCATCAAGGGTCAGACACAACTCAAAATCTGTCTGTCATAATTCAAGTCTGCCAGTCAGAGGTGAATCGCAATTCCATTTCTGTCATCTGTGCTCAAGCGCTAGTCCAGAAACAGTGAATTTGAGCCATTACAGTGAAATCCTGAAATTCACTATATCTGGGGTATTTCTGTTGATGTCAACAGTGGCAAAATTTGAGTTTAGGGCTGTCAGGAGGTAGTTTACTGCATCGCTACTACTTGTTGTGCTGTTTCAGTTAACTCTTGCCTATATCCATCATCACCATTAATCTTCTTCGCTTTCTAATGGTCCCTGGAATGCTAGTGACCTCTGGAATGCTGCGAAAGTGGAGGTTGCAACTTCAGTGAAAGTTCAGTGTCAGGTATAGGAAATCGTTAGTGCATGATTTTACTGGACATCCAGTCAGCCTGATTACTGACCCTTGTGGTCCTATTCCAACCCTAACCGCTTGTGCCCACTGACCCACATTACTCTGTTAACTAACAGTGCAACGGTTTTTTAGTGTCTGAGTGAACTATAAATCGCTGCACCTTCTGCTGTTTCACATTATTATTTTTTTGTTTTGAAAAGGGAAAATGTCCGACGCAGTTGACTCAGGTGCAGGGAAGGTAGAGGTAGTAGTCAAGGAGGAGGAGAAAGTTTCCCCCTCTACTCCTACCCCTCCTCCTCTCACCCCTGCGCAGTTGCGCGAAAGAGAGATTGAGGCCAAACTGCGAGAGCAACAGGCGCTGCTCGCAGAGGCAGAGAGACAAGAGGCTTTAGAACTGGAAGCTGCAACAGATGCTTTCAAGAAGGAGCATCTGCTGCAGCAGGCTGATAAGACTGTTGCACATAACCGGGTGGCCCAGTGAACGAGGGGCCTGTCTGAGCTGATGATTTTGCAGGACAAACTAATAGCCAGCCACTTCACGAACTGGGATGAGAGGATCCAGCGGTTGGAGACCAGAGTGGCTGATCTGGGAACTCAACAATCTAAGATCCTGGACTCTATCCAGAATCTGACTGCTGAGTTAACAACGGTCAACGTCATCACTCCCCTGGTCCCGGTGGTTTCCTCTCCAAAACCCAAGAAGCCTTCGCAACCTCCTTCACCCCCTGGATCTCCTCATCCCTCTCACAAGTCTTCTCCCTCTGTCACCTCCCAGGCCAAAGCCACGCCTCCTCCCACCTTTGCTGTTGTTGTTGTTGGGGACCAGCGAGGTCCTAAAATCCCTGCCCCCAACAAATACAAGGGGGATGACCCCGAAGTTGATGTTGGGGACTGGGCGGCCATAACCCAGGCATATCTGAAGGGGTTCCAGTGCCGAGAACAGCAAAAGGTGGCTACTATTGTGGGGCTGCTGGAGGGCCCAGCCCAGAAATGGGCTACATCTACAGCTAGTGTCGAGCAGCAGTCTTTGGAGGGTTGGGCATTGGCACTGGGGATTGACAAACTTTTGCAGGCCCTAGAGGACAGGTTTGCAGAGAAGGAACGTGCACGCAAAGATGCTGATAAAATAGCACACCTGGGCCAGCAGCGTTACAGCGGCAATCTGCAGGCTCTGTTTACTGATTTTGAACAGCTCACCTCCACCCCTGGCTTTGTTATGTCTATTGATGATTTGCTGACTTACTTTTGCAGGGTTGTGCCTGAAAAGTTCTGTGTGGCATTGTACAGCGCAGGGCACAAAGACTGGAGGTCATTTGACCGCGCAACATTGGACATGGAGGCCAAACTTCATGTCCAGGCCTCTTCCAGTGACAGGAAGAAAGGCGCTTTCGCTCGCGGTGGTAGAAGGGGAAAAGCGGCTTTGCTCACGCAGAATCGGCGTCATCATCTGATGCAGGATCCCGGCCTGGTACACCGCCAGGTGGGACTGCAACAGATGTTGTCGCAGATGTTGCAGCGGCCATGCAGCAGCTGCAGGCTGCGCTGGGGCCTTCCAAAAGGTCAGGCCTACCTCTAGCACAACCTCCAGCAGCAAGGGGAAGAGTCAGGGACGTCGCTCTTCAACCCCTGCCCGGCGCCCTAACCTTCCATGTGACGTCCATTTTCCTGCAGACCCCCTAAATCCCAACACCCTTCCCAGGCATGACTTGAAGATTCAGGAAGGGGTGTGAAGAAAGAGGAAGGAGAGGGGAGTCTGCCTGAGGTGTGAGGGACACCATTTCCTCAAGGACTGTCCCTACATGCCTAGCCTAGCTCTGTCAAAAAATTGAAGTTGAACCTGGGGACAGCAGTTCCCTCTAGTGTTGCACCTGCATCTGCAGCTGCAACAGCTTCAGTTGAGACTTGTTCCTTCCTACCCAGTGCGGGGACTGCGCGGGCAGCATCCTTCACCCATAAGGATCCTGACCCGGATCAGAAACCGGACCAGTCTGAATCTCAGGCACTTCATGCTTTTTTTTTTCATATAAAGGAACAAAAGCAGAACAAGTCTGATCTCATACTCCTTTGGCCCCGGATCAACCATAAAAGAATCAAAGGGTTGCTGGACTGTGGAGCCACCTGAAATTTCATGTCACTCAGTGCAGTCAAAAAACTGCATCTGGGAATGAAAGTGGTGCAATTGCAGCAACCGCTGCAAGTCCGGATAGGTGACTCCACTGTTCTCACAATCACGGAGAAGGTGAGGGGTATCCCTGTCACCTTCGACAGTGCTGGAGAAGTCAGACACAGTCTGAACTTCTACATATTCCCTCATCTACCCTTTGATCTTGTTTTCTCCATGCAGTGGTTGAAAGCAGTCAACCCAAGGATCAATTGGCAGATCCCCAAGGTTGAACTGTCAAACAGCAAGGGGGTGTATCGGCCTTGTATGATTCCTGCTGATCACCACCCAAAGACATCATGCTTCTGTCTGAGAGCGAGAGAGTTTTATGCTCTCTCACGCCAATATGACCATGAGCATTTGTTCATAGCTCTGGTCAAGCAGACAGATGCTCCCACTACTCTCTGTCCTCCTGAGATACAGCAGGTTGTGGACCAGTACGCTGATCTGATGCAAGAGCCCTCTGGGTTACCAAACCGGCCAACCAAGCATCACATTTAGCTGCTGCCTGGGGCGGTCCCTCCCAAGGGCCGCATCAACAGGATGTCACCTGCTGAGCTTGAGGAGCTCAGGCGACAGCTTGAGACCCTGACCAGCAAGGGTTGGATCAGGCCCAACACTTCTGAATTCGGTGCTCCAGTCCTCTTTGTTCCAAAGGGGAGTGGTGAGTTCAGAATGTGCATTGACTACAGGGGTCTCAACAAAATCACTAGGAAGAGCACAGAGCCACTTCCTAGGATTGATGACCTTCCGGATATGGTTCATGGGTGCACCATCTTCAGCAAAGTCGACCTCAAATCTGGTTATCACCAGATTGAGATGGCAGAGGAGGACATCCTCAAGACGGCCTTCAAAACCAGCTATGATACTTATGAGTATCTGGTTATGCCATTCGGACTTTGCAATGCACCTGGCACATTCCAGACTGAGATGCACCGCATCTTCAGGCCTTACCTGGATAAGTTTATGGTTGTTTACCTGGATGACATCCTGGTATTTAGCAAAACTACTAGGGAACATGCGGAACACCAGACTCTGGTTCTTCAGTCGTTACGTGATAGCCAGTATAAGATCAACAGGGAGAAGTCCTCTTTTGGAGTTCCCTCTGTTATCTATCTGGGTCATGTAATCTCTGGAGAAGGACTGGCCCCTGAAGCAGCCAAAGTTGCTTCTATTCAGGACAAGCCACAACCCCAGACAATGAGAGATGTCCGGTCTTTCTTGGGTCTGGCCTCATACTACAGAAAGTTCGTCAGGAACTTTTGTGCAGTGGCGGCACCCCTAACTAACCTTACAAAGAAAGACATTCCCTTTTTTTGATCTCTTCACTGCCTGATGGCCTTTGCACGACTCAAACAGGCCTTGACTCGTGCACCTGTTCTGAAGCTACCTGACCCCACTTTGCCATTTGTCCTGACCATTGACGCCAGTGAGTATGGCATTAGGGCAGTACTTCAGCAGGATGATGGGAATAGTCTGAGACCTGTTGAATTCATGAGTAAGAAGATCAAGACTCAGAAGGTTCATGACTCTTCCTACGAGAAAGAGCTGTATGCTCTTGTCAGTGTCCTGAAACATTGGAAACACTTTCTCCTAGGCAGGCACTTCAAGATCTTTTATGATCATTCCACCTTGCAGTGGTTGAAGTCCCAGGGAGAGTTGAATGACAAGTTGGCACGCTACATTCAGTTCATTGATCTGTTTGACTTTGAACTGAAGCACAAGAAGGGCTGCTACAATAAAGTAGCTGACGCCCTCTCTCATAGGCCTGACTCTTTTGTGCTGATCTCCTCTACTCATTCCTTTGGAGAGGAGGTCCGTTAGAACATTGCTCGTTTACTGCCTCAGGATCCGACTTATGAACCCATCGTCACGAATCTGCAAGCAGATCCCAATTTCGAGCCATGTTATACTATGTGTTCAGATTTGTTGTACACTTACAGCAGTGGAGAGGAACGCTTATGTATTCCTGAGGATTAGCAGCTGAGGACACTGATGATGTTAGAGTGCCACGACGCGCGTGGACACTTTGGGTTCTGAAAGTCGTATGCAGCCCTGTCGCAATGCTTCTTCTGGAAGGAGATGCAGAGAAATATGCTGCGCTATGTGGATACCTGTGAGCTCTGCCAAAGGAATAAGGTTCCGCGTAAACCTCCTTTGGGACTGCTTAAACCTTTGCCCATAATTGATGGTCCTGCACAGTCTATATCCATTGATTTTACAGACTTAGGCAAGACCACCCCTCGTGGCATGTGGCAGGTTATGGTCTGCGTGGACAGGCAGTGTAACCGGTTGAACGCGTCGAACGCGCGTTCACGTTCAAACGCGCGCATTCATACCCCGCGCGACCGTGTTCAATCGCGTTCAAACGCGCTGCGCGCCACGTGGCGCATAAAATTTGAACGCGAGCGAGCGCCCCACATGCGCGCGTTGCAGGCTACGGGGTGGTGCTACTCGTTCAAGAAACCCCGAAAGTGCAAAAAAAAAAGTCTCCACGGAGTACCACCACCCCCGCCATAAGTGCAACGTCACCCCCCACCACTGTGTGTGTGTGTGTGTGCGTATAATCCTCCTTTTTTTTTTCAAGGGTGAGGCAGAGGGGGGTAGGACCCCCAACATGGCTCAGACAGCCCAAACAGGCTGTCTGAGGGGTCCTCGCAGCCATGTGGCTCAGATCCCCCCACCCAAATTGAGGCAGGCAGTAAGTATGAACCATAGCACGAGCTTGCCGGATATATACTCAGGATTCAAGTTCAAGTCCGTGTTTCAGCAGTTATGGGTCACTCACGTAGCTAGGCCGTAGTGGTCTGTGCACGTGATTCTCAGGGCTTGGCTGCACTACTCACCAAAGGTGCAAAACTGGAATGAATTTTCTTCAGAACATGGAGTGAATACGCCGCCATATGTTTTGCCTTTTGTGCATGTTTTGAGTAGAGGCCCTTAGGGCCTAAGCTGCTCTGCACGTATTCCTAAGAAAAAAGAAGGAGGAAAAAAGAAAAACAAGAAAAACGAAAAACAAACAAAAAGAATGAATCTTCTGTAGAACATGGAATAATACGCCGCCATATTTGTTGTCTTTTGTGCATGTGCTGAGTAGAGGCCTTAGAGCCACTGCACGTATTCCTAAGAAAAGCAAAAAAAACGAGTAAAAGGGAAAACAATAAAGAAAAAAAAAAAAAAAAAAAACCGTTTTTCTTTTCTTAGGAATACGTGCAGTGGCCCTAAGGGCCTCTACTCAGCACATGCACAAAAGACAAAACGTATGGCGGTGTATTATCCCATGTTCTGCAAATGATTCATTCTAGTTTTGCACATTTGGTAGGTAGTGCAGAGAAGCCCTGACAATGACGTGCACAGACCACCACGGCCTGGCTACCTGAGCAACCCATAACTGCTTAAACACAGACATAAACTTGAATCCTGAGTATATATCCGGCAAGCTCGTGCTGTAGTTCATACTTACTGCCTGCCTGAATCTGCGCGGGGGGGTCTGAGCCACACGGCTGCGAGGACCCCTCAGACAGCCTGCACGGGCTGTCTGAGCCATGTTAGGAGGTTCTCCCCCTCTCTCCCTCCCCCTTGAAAAAAAAAAGAAGGATCATACGGACACATTATTATTATTATTTATTTATTTTTTTTCCATTTTGTCTGGTGCATTGGCCCACAGCGCCCCCTCCCACCCAGCGCCGATGCTCCCCACAATGCCCACAACCTCCCTAAACACCACCGCTGCTCCCCACACTGCCCTAAGGCCTCCCCCACCCCGCACAACCCCTTGCGCAAATGCGTCAAACACGTTCAGGGGCGTTCAATGAACGCGCGTTCATCACGTTCATAAACTGAACGTGAAACGCGCGTTCAATGAAGGCGCGGTAACATAGTGGACAGGTTTTCCAAATACGCAGAGTTCTTCCCCTTGCCAGAGGTAGCTAGGGTACCGGTTGAGAGAACAACCTTCTCTGAGAGGTGGGTCACTCACCATGGACCGCCCACTTCTATTGTGAGTGATCGAGACCCCAGATTTTGCAGCGATGAGTGGCAGTCCTTCTGCAAGGACTATCTGCACTCCCGCCTGGACATGACTTCTGGACGTCATCCTAAAGCCAATGGTTTGGCTGAAGTGATGAACCAAGTCATGTTCCAACTGCTGCGTCCTGTGATCTCTCCAGGTCAGCAGGACTGGGATCTCCACTTGGCGAGGGCACAACTCACATATAACATGTCTGTCCACTCCTTGACAGGGTTCAGCCCCTACTGGCTACATTGGGGACGTGAGCCACGACAGCCTCTCGATGATATCATCGATAAGGCTACGCCTAACCTTACCCCAGGCACTGCAGAGTTCACTAGACACTATCGTCGAGAAGTGGAAAGAACCTGGGCGAACTTGTTCAAGGCCCAAAAGGCCATGATTGAACAAGCCAACCGCCACAGGCGGCCTTCCCCCATCCGCATTGGTGACTATGTCTGGGTGGCCAGTTCAGAGCTGTCGAGGGAGGAGGATATCTCCCCCAAGCTGTTGCCACGCTACGTGGGTGCGTGGCAGGTCCTAGATACAGTGGGCGCCGATCCGTTCGGTCCGTCGTATATCATCGACGTCCCGCTGCATCTACAAACCTATGTGGTCTTTCATGCATCCAAGCTGCTGCCGTTTACACCAGCTGATGCATTCCCATACCGGCCCCTTCATATTGGTCCACCGATCCCTAGCAAGGGATATGACGTGGAGTGGATTTAGGATGAGTGGGACACTGGCCCAGTATCTTGTCAGGTTTGCGTTCCAGCCCCCTTCTGAGAACCGGTGGGTCTACAGAAGAGACCTGATCAAGACAGCAAAGTCTGTTGTTCTGCGGTATGATGCGACCCAGAAGGGTAACCTCTGCCGCTCACCCCGCCTACACCCCTAACTCAGAGGTCCTCGCTCCCGTGGAAGGGTAAGCCTGCAATGACTTGCTGATTTCTGTTGCCGAGACTGACTGCGAGGCTGTACACTAACCGTAGGGTTAGATTCACAATTTGTTTGGCTGAGGGCTAACCGAGAGACCTGTCTGTTTGGAAATTCGTGAGGGACAGAATTGCAATTCCGGGAAAATACAGGCCCGGTACTAACCGAATTTCTACAGCTACCCTAACTGCCTATAGCAGACCCGGGCTACCCCTAGGACAGACAGGCCCTAAGTGGCCTATACTGCTATACGGTCCTATAACCTATAGCCGGGTCCGGTAGAGGCCGAGAAGCCGAAAGAGCAACGGTACCGGTAGGTCCAGTCAGTCCAGTCTAGGTCTAGGTTAGAGTAGGGAGTCTATAAGTCCGGTAGGAATATCGGGTAGTGACTTTTGGCTTTTCATTTTCGCGTTGCATGGTCCGTGGCCTACCAAGTTTAGGAGCGCTGAATGTCTACAGCGGCACCTGGCACCTGCGACATCAGCTGCGTGAAGCAGCCATAGCCGGCCTACCTGAGACAGCCTGGGGCGGTGCTCAGCGCATCTATCCCCAGGGGATATCTGCGTTTGGCAGGACTATCGAAGGCTTTTCACTGGGTACATGTGGGTACTGCTGCTGCGGTAGCAGCCGGGCAGCCATAGCTGCCTTCTTCATCGTCATAGGGACTCATCGGCACTGGGGACTACTTCGCTGTTCATGATCTGCATCTGGGTGTATGGCACTGACCTCTGGGAGGCTGTTTCAGTGCAGCGCTAGACTCTGAGTGTAGTAGTGAGTGGAGTGTGTGGTACTGAGGTGGCGAGACACTGGGTTGAACTCTGTAACGATAATTGGGGTAAATTAAGTTGAAGTTGGCTCATCATCTGTGTTACATTCCGATTGTGATCTTCGCAGTGTCATCTTGTGATTGGTTGTTGGGAGTTCTTCAGAGAGAGAGAAACACTGTGTGTATTCTCCCCATCTGTGCATGGTTGATATTC